ATGGCTGGTGGAAAGAGCGGTTTCTGCCGGTATATAATTTGATTGACTAATACAATTGTACACAGCAAAAAATGGCTCCAGACTACAATCTCAATACAAATTAGTAGGGCTGTTACTGATTAAAAAAAATTTTGATTAATCGAACACGAAAATTTTAATCGATTAATTATAACGCACATACAGATCCAACTACATTGGCCTTAACAGATACAGCACAGCAATGAAGTAATAAAATGAACTAGGATCACACTAATCCAGCACGTTATTAATGTGCCCCACTCAATATGGCCGCCGCTTGAGTGGGGCAACTCAGAATAACAACATGCTGGATTAGTGTGATCCTAGTTCATTTTATTACTTCATTGCTGTGCTGTATGTGTATAGGCCAATGCCTTGGCTGGCGCTCGTGCAGAACAAGTTTCTCGGGCAAACCTCTTAGTTGTAACGAAACCGGAAGTCAGGCGGTCGCAGAACTCGATAAGTATCGACAGATCACCGGTGATCAATCGAAAGTTCGAAATTTATCGAGTTCTGCGACCACCTGACTTCCGCTTTCGTTACAACTAAGAGGTTTGCACAAAGAAGTTCTTCTGCACGAGCGCCATCCGCTACATTGGCCTATACACATACAGCACAGCAATGTAGTAATAAAATGAACTAGAATCATAGTAATCCAGCACGTTATTCATCTGAGTTGCCTCACTCAAGCGGCGGCCATATTGAGTGGGGCACCCGAGATAAATAACATGCTGGATTACTGTGATCCTAGTTCATTTTATTACTTTATTGCTGTGGTCTATGTGTACAGGGCAATGCCGCGGATGGCGCGGAACTTTCTTGTGCAAACCTCGTAGTTCTAAGGAAACCGGAAGTCAGTAGGTCCCAGAACTCGATAAGTTGGGACCATCGATAGAACACAGGCCCAAACCTCATAATGAAGGACTTAATTAATCTTTCTGCATGAAAGACATTTTAATAACTTTTGTGCAGAGAATTTTTTAGGTGAAGGGTAAATGTGCTGAAGAAGCCATTTATAAATAAGAAGTGCAGTTGCAGGAAAATATATTTTTTTAATACAAACAATGCTGTTGTATACACTAAAGACTAATTTCCATTCCGTTTTGCCTTGACACAGAATTATAAAGCACCTAGATCACAATATCTCACCAGTGCGATAAAAAGTGCATCATAAGTACAAAGTTATTGAACAAAACAGAACTGTAGCAATTATATTACCCGGTAGATCTGACACTATGTTGGCTTTTTTCCATAAAGCAATGAGGTTGAGATAAAAAGCCTTAGTTCCCATACCCATCATAGATTACTATACGTTCAAAACATAACGAAGGGAAGGGGGAGGAGTCAACGTCATCGGACTCCTCCCCTTCCCTTCGTTAGCCGGAGCCACTTGGGGTAGGGAGGTGGAGTCCGGTGACGTCGATATCCGTGACGTCATCGGATCTCCGACGGGACTCCCGTAAGACCCGGAAGCCGGCTGAGAGGTGAGTTTTCATTTTTGATCAAAAGAATTTTAATCGATCAAACATTTTAACGATTAATCGAGAAATGAGCAAACTAAATGTGAGAATGGGAGTGAGCTTGGAGCGGTGTCAACCTTACAGCACACACAGGGACCATGGGGAACAAAAGCAGCCACCCTCCAGAAGGAAGGGCAGTGTCAGCACCAATTCAGAGATGATTTGAGGATCTACAGCTGAGTGATACACAAATAAGATACATTTTTGGTAATAGTTCAGGTACTTGAAAACATTTTTAGATTTAAAGTGACATTAAATGTTTTTTCCCCCCATTCTGTTTCTTCTTTTAATACTTACCTTAAGTGATGCCTGTTGATCTGAACATCATCTTCCTTCCACTGTTTTCCAGCAGTCCCTCCAGTGCTGGTTTCTGATCCAGCACAGGCTTCTGTGTCCCAGAGTCTGTCCAGCGTGCACGCTCCCAGCTGAGTGTATTCACTTCCACTGAGTCTGTCCTCCCCCACGCCAATGAGCTCCACTGCGCATGCGCCCACCTACACTTCCTCCTATACGGGCCGTTTGGAAGATGTGTTCTGCAGCTGGGAGCGAACACAATTATTCAATTGACAATTTTTTAATTTATGTTTTTGCATATATCTACTTCTTGCTAGCCGTAAATATATGCAAACAAAAAGGAAGAAGTAGAGGAGACTTTAATTCTACTTTAACTCCTGTGTCACTTTGAAGTAGTAGAGGTGGGTACAGTTAGCCTGTGTGAATTGAAATGTAAAATTTTACCGATCTTAAATTTCAGCTTTTCTCTGGGTTTCAACCTCATGTGTATGGAGTTTCGAAGCAATGTTTTTGTGGGCAGCAGGAAAATGCAGTCATAAATAGGGGACATACCACTACATGCGTCATATCATATAATTTGTAATTACTGACAATTAGAAACTCCTGGCTGCCATTTGTAAGACTTCTGTAAAATAGACAACAAACAAAGTTTGCCAGCACACCTACCAGCTAGCCTGCAGACACCTTACAATGTCTAAGGGCCAGTTCACACCATATGCAGTTGTGATGCAGTCCGTTTATTTTGACTGCTGCAGTTAAAATATATCCCAATGCTTTCCTATGGGCTTTCTTGTGCTTAATTCACACCATTGCAGTCCGTTCAGATGCAGTCGGAAAAAGCACTGCTTGTCCAATTTTACCTGCACCTAACTGCACGAAACGCAGTGCAAAGCATACAAAAAACAAAACAGAATTGATTGTGGCATCATCCAGGGACAGGCAGGGGGAAAAAAAACGCATCAAAACAGATCGCAATGCAACTGCGCAGACGCACACAGTTGTGATGCAGTTTCTGGTGTGAACTAACCCTAAGGCCTGGTACACACCTGGGCGTTTTACAGCGCGTTCCTACACTCTGTAAAACGCTCAACATGTGAAAACCAATGATTGCCTATGGGCATGGTTCCCACCTAGGCGTTTTACAGCGCGTAGGAACGCGCTGCAAAACGCCCTCCCCCCAAAGAAGTACAGGAGCTTCTTTGGGGCGTATTTGCCGCACGTATCCATTGGGATACAGCCAGGTAGCCCTCGGAAACGAATCGCGGTAAAAACACGTGACAAACGCGCATATTCGATACGCCTAGGTGTGAACCCAGCTTAACTATTAAGGAGGAATGGTCCGCCTCCTGGCAAACCTGCACCCAATTCATCCTATATATGCTCCAAGATGGAGGCTCTCATAGATCAGAGTTAGGACCACACTACACAGAGGGGCCTTGCGAGGCAGTGCGGCTTCCACATATTTTGCAAAAGTTGTGCATCTAAAACCCGTTTTTAAACCTAATAGTTAGAAAGAGTAATCTGTTTGCAGGCTGGCAAGTGTGCTGGGAAATAGTATGTTTACTATAACTACAACTATGAATGAACAGGAGGGGGATTAGATCACTCCCGTTCATTCATAGTTGAGGATATAGTCAACATGCTATGTCCTCATCTACAAATACTCAGCAATCACCTAGTGTTTGCATTGGCTCTCCTCTCTGTCACAGGAGGGTGAGCGAGCAGTGCGGGAGTAGAGCTCAGCCTCCTGTGACAGCGCGGGTTGTCTCCGCCCACACACCGCTCTGCCGGACTGTGATAGGAGGCTGAGCGGTGTGGGAGGAGAGACGCCGGCCACTCACATCGCTCTCCTCCCACAGCGCTCGGCCGGCTGTCACACTTTCTCTCCTCCCAGCTGGGAAACAGAGCAGCGCCCATTGGGGAAGAAAGCAGGGATGCGCCAATGTATCGCCCAGAAAATGGCACTTTCGGCATTTAACGGAAAGTGCCATTTTCGGCCGATATATCGGTGCATCCCTAATTCTTACTTTACAGCATTTTTTCACACCTGCCTAAAACTTTTGCACAGTACTTTTTTTAAATATTGGGAATTTTCATGTGCTAGCTGTCTAATTGCGTGTTGCGTGTGTTCAGGTCTTAAGTGAAGTTCAGTTTTTTTTTAAATGATGGAAAAAAAAAAAAAAAAAAAAAAACACACCTAGATTTTAGGAGCAAAACAAATGAATAGCAAATATCTTTCCATTCATTTTTTTATGTTGCATTTCTAGTTCATGTTCTTTTAGCCCTGATGAAGGGGACTATTCCCATCCCAAAACAACTGTCACTAATCAATGATTTGTTGGTGATTTCTATTTTTCTCACTTTCTGTATCTGTGACACCCATGCTATGGAAGTATATTTTGCCCCCTGTTGGAGAAATTGTCTACCACTTCCTGCCCTGACAGCAGATGAGAACCCACTCCCCATGGTCCAAAGAAAAGGGACAGAAATAGCAATAAAACCTGACAGATGTTTTAACCCCTGCTTTCCTATACAAAAATAAACTGTTTTAAACTGGAGTGGGGCTTTACAGTTTTAACGACTTGAATATCATTTTTCAGTATTCAGCGCTGCGGTACTTTGACTGACATTTATTCCGTTATGCAACAAATGTACTAAAATTTATTTTATACCATTTTTTGGGGACAGATAGAGCTTTCTTTTGGTGGTATGGAATCATCACTGGGGGTTTAGTTTTTTACTGTATGAAGGAAAAGTTACTGAAAATGTTGAAAGAAAAAAAAAACAAATGTCTTTTTACATTATGTTATGAAACAATGATTATTACCCAGTTTTTTGGTAAAATATAAAAGACGGGGTCAGGTCGGGTAAATAGATATCAAACATGTCAAGCCTTAAAATTGCGCGCACTCGCGAAATCACAAAAAACTACCACACTCAAAACTGACCATAGGTGATGCCTTAAAAGCTTTTACCGCTCATCAGTTTAGTGTTATCAGTGGTTGATGGCCCTAAAATGATTGCTCTCACTCCGACGTTCGTGGTGATATGTAGCATGTGCGACATAATCGTCGTTTTCGCACATATGCGCACCCGACGCATGTTTGCACGCATGTATGTATGGTGTGGGGACTTTATAAAAAAAAATTGTTTTTTTTAAATTCTTTTTCATGTGTAACTTTACATTTTTTTAAACTTTACTTTAATCTTTTTTTCCACTTAAAGTTATTGTTATCACATAGGGGGGTAAGAAATCCTCTATGTGATAGCAAAGAGATGTGACAGGTCCTCCTTATGGAGACATCAGGGGTCTCCAAGACTCCCAATGTCACCTAGGGACCCCCAAAGAAGCTGATGAAGCAGAGATCTGCTTCATCAGCTTCTCTCCAGCGTCTGAAGCCGGAAACTGACACAAGAATGCGGAAGTGATGTAATATAGCGGAGAGGGGATCGGAGGGAGATTGTGTACCGAACTCCCTCTGATCCCGTCACAGAGCCACTATGCTGGTCCCGGGCTCGCACCAGGCACATCGGCGCTCGGGACCAGCAGGAGGGGGGACACGGACCGGCACCTTATACAAGTGATCCCCCGGTTCTATAGCCGGCGGATCGCTTGTATGTAAAGAGGCATAAAAAAAAATGCATCAGTACTTGTGCATGTGAGTACTTGGACAAGTATCAGTACTTGTAAAAATGGTATCTGTGCATATATTTATTAAAAAATAAATATCATACATTAAAACAGGGATGCACAAATCCCAGGAGCCCCATAGCCAATGCTCCTTAAAAATGACAGCTGCCTCCTAACTTTTGAGTTTCTCTCTAGTCTTGGAGCTGGAAAAGTATCTGTACTTGTACTGAGTACTGTACTTGGTATCTGAACATCCCTTATTACCACAATACATGCTAATCACATACAAAGGTGGAAATGGACTTTACACTATTACTATGCTGTCACCATATAGATTAGGTATGGAAAACTGGGATAAAACAATGTTCATCTTTCTCCCTTACCCTAAAGTTGACTCTGTTTCGGACCCGCTGTGCCAGTGCTGAATTTATTGCCTTGTCAAACTGAAGCAATACTTGTAGCGCTAGCTGAGGGTTGATCTGCTGAGACTGAAAAAAAAAAATATTATTATACAGGATTCATATAGCGCCAACAGTTTGCACAGCGCTTTACAATATAAGGAAAACATTACAATACAATTCAAGACAAGATGGTAAGGAGGGCCCTGCCCGTGATGGCTTACAATCTAAAAGGGAGGGAGAAGTGATACATGAGGAGGTAGCTGTGTGGGGATGAATTGTTTGAGAATGTGATGGTTCAGTGGTTAGGTTGAGGTGGGATAATTGTGGGATGTATATCCTTTTTAAAGCAGAATTAACATTATTTCAGCTTACAAACAAAGGATGTAGGTACCTCAGACACGCTTTTCACTACTTAAAAACTGACATGTCTATTTTAGTCTGTGCTGACCATAGTCTGTGTAGAATAAAAACAAAGTCCAAATCCCATTCGCACTGCCACGGTCTCAAAACCACAAGGCATATGTGGTGCCCAGGTGACCACACGGATGGCGCCGTGCAAAACACTTAAAGTAAATAAAAGTAATTCACCGGCACACACATGAAGGGTTTTTAAAGTATTGATATGTTTATTCAATACCCAATGTCACATACTGTCATACGGTGCTAACGTTTCGGGTCCGCACAGGGATCCTTCATCAGAGCGACAGGTTTGAAACGTTAGCACCGTATGACAGTATGTGACATTGGGTATTGAATAAACATATCAATACTTTAAAAACCTTTCAAGTGTGTGTCGGTGAATTACTTTTATTTACTATTTGTGTAGAATAACAAACAAGATGACTGGTAATGCCATGGCCCTGGGCCTGTGCAACATCCTGCCGCTAACTCAAATGTATTGCACGACGTGCCCAATGCACGATGCAGCACCAGAAGCAATATTACAGGCCAGTCCACATATTCTTTCTGCCGAGGTCCAGGTACGTTCACCCAACCGAACCATCTGATCCAGAAATCTGCAAAAGGGAAGCCATTACCACTCTTCATCCAATCAGAAAACAGCTAGTAATCATTGAAAACAATACTAGGTGTTTGCTGAACAGTCAATATGCTGAGCGAGCCTCTGTGTTCTCAGAGCAGAGGGGAAGTCACTCAGCACAGCGGCAATGCAGGAGCCAGAAGATTGCTGTAGATCACTGCACTGGCTGCGGCTACTACATTGTGTAAAAGGATCGCCGGGACCCTACCCGGTATAAAATATGTATACTTACATTGGGGTATATCAGAGCCCCTGGAAGTTATTGGCCGGCTCTACTCACATAAACAGACTGCAAAAGTAGCCAGAAGTGGCTTGCATGGGCCTGCTGCTGCCCACATAGGCAACAGCGAAAGGGTTAAAGGCTTCAAGAAAGCTGCTCAAAGCTTTGCAGAAAATTTGGCGCTCATACAAGCTGAAGCTAAATTAGGCCTTAGCTTGTGTTAAAGCACTTTTTATTACAAATTTGCTGATAATATACCTTTGCTTTTTCATCCTTTGATACATTTCAGGGCTGTTGATCTATCTACATACATGCACTCCATCAATGATTGTTTGGCATTTCATGTCCATGCCATAAAGAAAAAGTATTTGGAGAGTAAAATGTACACTTCCCAATACCTAGAGCCGTCGTGTGACACTGCAGCTGTTACATGTCAGCTCTATAGATTGAGATCTGAGTGATCACAAACCGCTGATCACCGAATTTACAGTCTTCTTCCTGCAGAGAGCCGCGGCTGTCAGTCATTATTCCCCACAGGGATTTCCTCCATCCCCTCTCTGTTCCTCCCGTGCTCATTGGAGGACAGACAGGGAGGGGGCAGGCACAGCTGGCACTGGCTCTAGAGAGGAAAAGCTAGCTGCCAATGAGGCAGTGGGGTGGATCCTAACAATATTTTCGGGATCTTTCCCTGCTGCAGTGCGGCTCTGTGCCGTCAGCATATAGAGGCCAGTAGCCAAATAATAATAATAATGGTTTGACCATAGTTCTCTTATTAATAATGTGCATTGAAGTTGCAATTAGAAGTCATTAGTGTCAGTCTGTGGGTCAGGTTAAGTACACAGAACAATTGGGAGCTGGACACAGAATTTTCACCCATTAGCCGGATCTTTGGATATTGAAGCTGATATCCCATTGCAGTGACTGGGATTACACTGGGATGTAGGAGAAGTAAACCCAGAGCTGCTGCCACGTGTATGTATCGGAGATAGAAGCCCACGGATGTGGGGGGAGGTTAGCGTACATCCTCTGACCTGTATTAACTCATCCAGGCTCTCCTGTAGACTGTTGCCCAGGGTGGTGTTCCTATACAGCTGATAAGCCATGATGAATGGTGGTCACACACGGCTGACCAGCCCCTGCTCGTTCCCCGGTATAGTCCTGGGTGCAGTACGGCAGTTCCCGCCGCTATGAGTGCAGGCAGCCTATTCCACCCGCCGTGTACAGCTCGAGAGAACACCAGAAGCTCTATGTCACGGCTACTTCCCAGCCACTAGAGGACCCGGAAGTGTTGTCCACAAAGGAACCGGAAGTGGGCGGAGCCTACACGGCGTAAACTGTGACCCCCCCGGAAGTAATCGGATTTCCCTGTCACTATGGTCCAGTTAAATGGGTCTGTGGGTCTAACACAGGGCGGGTGCGCTGTCAGTTATGTGGGGTTAGGGGAGCTGAGTGACAGAGGGTTGCAGGGTTAGTGCTATGAGGCCACATTCATGTCTTCTCTCCTAGCATTGCAGGCTGAGGAGACGGGTGAAAGGAGGTGTAGTGTGAGCGCTACAGCTTTACTGGGTCATAGGGGAGGGGAGGGGAGTATCAGTGCTGCAGGGTGAGGGGACCTGGGTAACAGGGCATGAAGTGTCATTATAGGATGACAACGGGGTGCAGTGTTACGGATATGGGGGGTCAGTTGTCAGTGCTACTATGTTACATGATGTTGCTGATAAAGGCTGCAAGGTGACATGAGGTGCTGGGGGACTGGGTTTAGTGTCAGTGGTACAGGGGGACATGGAGCTGCTCAGTGAGGGGCATTAGATGACGTGGGGGTGCAGTATCAGTACTATGGGATGACATGGGGGTGCAGTGTTAGTACTACCAGATGACATGGGGTTATATTTGCAGTAGAACGGGATGACATAGGGGTTTAGTGTCCGTACTGTGGGATGAAATAGGGTTGCAGTGTTAGTGCTGCGTGGTGAGGGTACAGGTTGAGTGTACCTCCTAGACAACAGGACTTGCAGTGTCAGTGATATAGGAGTGCATTGTGGGGGGAATCTGAGTGAGGGAGGGGGTGTATTGACAGTGTGAAACGGGTACTTCCTGAGAAGCATTGCAGGGTAACATGGTGGTGACCAGTTAGGAGAGTTGAGTGACAGGGGCTACAGTGTTATTACTACAGGGATTTGGGGGAGCTGGTTCACAGGCAAGTGCAGTGACAGAGTTACCCGGTGACATGGGGGTGCTGTACATGGGGATTTAGATAAGTGGGTGCAGTTTCAGTGCTATGGGGTGACAAGGTCAGTGTTATTGAGTGGAGCACTGTAATTGTTGCAGAAGGAGTGGAGCTAGGTGACAAGACTTGCGGTGTCAGTGCGTCAAGGTGACATAAGGCTGATGGAGGACGCATGCAAGCTGAGTGATAGACAGGTGTTTTGAATGGGGATGCTGTGTAGAGATGGCAGATGCACTGTCAACATTGCAGGGTGACATGTGGGTGGGATATGGGAGGTGAGTAACAGGGAAGTGGTCAGTGCTACAGGGCAGTCAGGGGGTGGGAGGATGGGTGCAGAGTCGGTGTTATATAGATGTCCTGGGGACATTGGGGTGCGGGTTAGTGTTAGCCCCATGTAGGGAACAGCATGACAGGCAGGTGCAGTGACACTGTGAAAGAATAGGGTGATAAGGGGGGTGCATTGTCAGTGATTTTTTTTTTTTTCTTTCGCTAGCCCTAATCAAAAGGTCAAGATGGTAATTTGAGTGAACAGTGGGATTGTGTCGAGTAAATAGATACCAAACATATCAAGCATAAAAATGGTGTTCACCTTCCAAATAGCAACAAACCCATGATAGTCCATAGGCAACTCTTTAAAAATCTCTATAGCTTATCAATTGAGAGTTAACTATAAATGAGGGCCCTAAAATTATTTCTTGCTCTCTGGCGTGGGTGGTGATACACAATATGTGTTGCACAACTATACATTATTTGATGACTAGCAAAAGTGTGCATGTTCCAGAACAGGTGTTTGTGGTGGGGAGCGGATTGTTGGAGTGGAGCTCAATGTGTAGGTGGCGAGGGACAGTGGGCAGTAGAAGGGACCCTTAAGGAGTGAGGAGCTGTTTGCACCAATGGAGCCAGGAGTTAAAGCTGGGAGTTACTGGAAATGGTGGAAAGTATGTACTGTGAGCAAAGGGTTTCTGCTCGTTCCAGGGAAGGATAAATAGTGTTTAGCGGGTGAGGATAAGCTGTGACTGGAGGGTGAGGTGTGTGATGAGCTGTGACCAGGGGGCAACAATGGTGGGCATGAGCTGACACTTCCAAATTACCTTTGTCCCCACAGGACCAGTCTCTCAATCTTGCAGTGGCAAGGAACAGGACCCACCATGAATCCTGCAATGATGGAAAGCAGCAGGTCAAGCATTGCTTGGCAGGAGGGGGGGAGTAACAGTTCAGAATGGTTGGGCCACTTCAAGCAGAGGCTTGCCCTTTATATGTGGGCAACTGCCAGGTGATATTAACCCATGTTTAGAGGGGGTGGGCCACATTAAAGATGGGGGTAGGAAGCTGAGTAGAGATTGGGGGGGGGGTCTGGGTTTACATGTACTGTAAGGTGGCCAGGAACAGATGTCCTTGAGCAGGGGCAAAGTGTAAATGAGCCTGTGTTTCAGTTTGAAATCTTTGTTCTGATCCCCCTGTGCTGTTGGGAATAGTTTCTCAGGAGGTCCATTTATAAAGCATTGGTATGACTTTACTGTGGCTATACCATTGCTTCTTTAAAAAAAATTGGCCAGCAGCGTGCTGTTTAATATGTACATTGCACTCCACTTGCTTCTAAGCCCCATATAATATAAATGAAGCGCCCAGTCATGTAACCTGTCAGTCGTGTGATCGGCCTGTTCTTAAATTATGGAGTGGAAACTCCGAGACATACTGCAGGCTCCACGCCATTGCCTGCATTTTATGAACTGGCTGTAAAATACAGGCCCTGCTTTATTGTAGTATAATATATCGTATCTGCTATAAATACCTTAGATAATTATAGTTAGTTATTATTAAGGGGGGAAACGTGCACATCAAGTTGAACCTCGTGCAAAACATATTATTTTAAAGAAAATCAAACATCAGCTTTTCTACAGCGGCCAATTTTGTCCCGAAAGGACAACAAATTCAAACCAGGTGGAAAAAAACACACAGTAGTTTAGGTGGCACATCTCTCACAGAGGGAACAATGTGAAATAATCTTTGGCAATTTGTCTAGAAAGCTGACCTCCAGGATAAGCAAATATTGTCTAAATACAAGATGCATGTGTGTCCTTACCTGAAGGGTTAGCCAAGCTTTGCAATGAGATGCATGATGTAGGTAGGGGTGTCCTGTATTTTTAAAAATATCAAGCTTTAAAAGGTATAGTTTAACTGCAATATAATCAGCTAGTATGTTCTATGGTGTAAGCAAATTATTTGTTTTTTCTACACGTTACAGTTATCACTGGACACAGCGTCGCAATCTGATTTTAGCACAAGTATCGCCAAGAATGCAAGCAGTGAAAAGCTACGACACCATACACTATATTAGGGTTTTTATTACTCAGGCTTCTGATTCAGCAGTTCTAAATAAAATGAGCAGATCTGTTTGAATGTTTTTTTTTTTAATTCCAATTGGTCAACATTTTGTACTTCATATCATTTTGTTTAATATCCATATGTAGTGAGAAACACACCAGCCATAACATTATGGACACTTTCCTAATATTGAGTAGTTTCCCCTTTTGCCACCAAAGCAGCCATGACACATCGGGGCATGGACTCCACTAGACCTCTGAAGGTATGTTGTGATTTCATGCACCAAACTGTCTGTAGCAGATCATTTATGTCCCGTCACTTGTAGGGTGGAGCCTCCATGGATCAGATTCGTTTTTCCAGCACATCCCAGATGCTTAATTGGATTGAGATCTGGAGAATTTGGAGGCCAAGACAACACCTCAAACTTGTGTTCCTCAAACCATTCTAGGACCATTTATGCAGCGTGGCAGGGCGCATTATCCTTCTGAAAGAGGCCACTCATCATGGAATACTCTTTCCATAAAAGGGGTGTACTTGGTCAGCAACAAATTATTAGGTAGGCGGTATGTGTCAAAGTAACAGCCACATGAATGGCAGGACCCAAGGTTTCCTAGCAGAACATTGTCCAAAACATTACACTGCCTCCACCGGTTTGCCTTCTTCCAATAGTGCATGCTGGTGCCCTCTCCTCCCCAGGTAAGCGACACATATGCTCCATTGTTCCGTAGTCCAATTCTGATGCTCACATGCCCATTATAGGCACTTTTGGCAGTGGACAACATAGGCACCCTGACCAGTCAACCGCTACGCAGCCCGATACGTAACAAACTGATGCACTGTGTTCGGACACCTTTTTATTGGTACCAGCATGAAAATTTTTAGCAATTTGAGCTATAGTAGCTCTTCTAATGGCTCAGACTACAGCAACAAGCCTTCACTCCCCCCATGCATCAGTGAGCCTTAGCCTCCCATGACCCTAATTCACTGGTTTTCCTTCCTTGGACAATTTTTGGTAGGTCCTGACCACTGCATACCTGGAACATCCCACGAGCTGCAGTTTTGGAGTTGGAGTTGTTATACAATCACCCGACACTACTTAGTTTCCACAATCCATGACAATCCAGTTTGAGGTCCAAAAGTCAGTAGCGAGAGCAATACTGTGAATACTTTCTATAGCTTTCTTATGCTGTGTTAGCTTCTCGTCGTACATCTGACCAATCACAGTGTCGATTGTACGGCGACTGGGTAAATGATCTGGTTTTGAAGAGCTATACGTAGTACTGTTTGTAGTCCATCATCTTCCACAATCGCCGTCGGACGTCCTGAACTGGCAATCCACTGAGCAATAGCAATTTTCAAATCTGCAGAAACTTTGTCGCTTGCAGGCTTGTTTGACTGACACGACAAGAAATTAGTTATTGATTGTACTTGAGAACTCTTCTGCCGGTCACTGTCGACAACTTGTTTATACTTGAGTGGATGTTTGTGCTAAAGGTGGTACGTCAGCGTTGTATTTGAACCACGGAAAGCAAATTGTTTATTGCAGTAAACTTTGTTGCCATTCTCTACTTTGCCATCAGCAGTTAGCTTAAAAATAAAATGGTTGCTCAACTTTCCGCTTACATGCATAACTGCAACATTGCTTTCATTGCTCGCCATTGTTGTTTATGGTCTAAACGTCTACATTTTATAAAACACCAAGGATCTCTTTCCGTCACACTGTTAACA